TTGGATTTGGAGAACTTCATTTTGTGTATTTTTAGTGAATTTTTTAAATACGCAAATCTATATAACTTCCTGGTCATGTGACCTGATGATGTCACACCACCTGGAATGTATTCACTAACCCCTGGAGCACACCATACACGACTTGGATTTGGAAAACGTCATTTCTTCTATTTTTAGTGAATTTTTGAAATACGCAAATCTATATAACTTCCTGGTCATGTGACCTGATGATGTCACACCACCTGGCATTTAATCGCTAACCCCTGGAGCACATCATACATGACTTGGATTTGGAGAACTTCATTTTGTGTATTTTTAGTGAATTTTTTAAATACGCAAATCTATATAACTTCCTGGTCATGTGACCTGATGATGTCACACCACCTGGAATGTATTCACTAACCCCTGGAGCACACCATACACGACTTGGATTTGGAAAACGTCATTTCTTCTATTTTTAGTGAATTTTTGAAATACACAAATCTATATAACTTCCTGGTCATGTAACCTGATGATGTCACACCACCTGGAATGTATTCCCTAACCCCTGGAGCACAGGGGAGGCGCGCAAGATGGCGTCGTGAGCACATGTGTTGAAACAGCGCTCATCAACAAAGTTTATTTTAAGGAATAAGACGGACTTTTTTATTTTAGTTTGGGACCTATTTCGTTGTTAAGTACTACTCGGACGTGCATGTATGAGGAAAATGTCAACTGATAAAAAAAGGAAAAACTTTGCGACAAAGAAGAAAGAACTAGTAGTGGTTGACACGGAGGCGTCGTCAACCTGCTCTGCTCCTGCTCACAACGTGCTTGTCGACAGTTGCCACAATTACTGTGATCCTCCTGGTGAGAAAATGGAATTTTCGGTGATGTCAGCTCCCTGAGACTCCTGTGAAGCCTCCTTCGAAGAAAGGCCGGGGTGAGTCCGCTGACGACATCATTTCTAAACTCTCTGAGCTCATCAACACACGGTCTGATAAGTTGGAATCGGTGGTTGCGGTAAACACTTCTCAAATTGCCGATCTTAAAGAAAAGATCAACTCCGTGTGTGATGATGTGAATGAGGTGAAGACCAAAGTTTCCCAAGTTGAATCATCACTGTTGAAAGAGAGTAATCGGATCGGCGCATTGGAATCGCGCGTCACTGAGTTGGAGCGATATTCCAGACGTTGGAATTTGAAATTGCACGGTCTGTCAGAAAATGTCGACGAGAAAAATGTAAGAAGAGAAGTGGTTGGTATTTGTCAGAAGTTACTGCCGGATCAAGCTGACCGTCTGGCAGATGTGATCGACACTGTGCATCTTGTTGGAGTAAAGAGAGTAAATTCTGCCCGCGGTGTAATCATCCAGTTCTCTTCGCGTATACACAGAGCAGCAGTGTGGGCAGCAGCCAAAAGCTCCGTTTATCTACGGGAAAATGGTCTTCGTTTCAGAGAGGATCTTTGCAAGGCCGACAGAGATAGTAGAATGAAATTGTGGCCGTTATTTAACGAGGCACGGAAAGCAGGAAAGGTTGCCTACTTTGTAGCCGGTCGGGCCTTCGTGGAGAAAAAAGAGATCTTTCCGCCAGGTTGAATTCTCTCAATTTTGAGATAAGGTGTCTTGTTTAGCTAAATGCTTCCTTGGTTAAAGAAAAGAAAAGGAAAATGTTCTCCTCGCCACTTTTTTCCCCTTGCTACTTGTTTTTGCCTACTTAAGTTCAATTTAATATTGGTACTTTTTGCAAAAGGTCATTTTTGACCAGGACCATATTTTCATAATGTTCATATTTTCGAATGTCCGTTTCCTACATAACTACAGTTGATGTGGTGCTTTTGTTCTCATCACGCTTAGCAGTTATCTTTGAGCTTTACTTTAAAAAACAATTCAAAAATTGTTCAATTGAATTTTATTTTTGTTATTTTATTCTAATTTTGTATTCTGATGTCTTTATCTTTAATTTCACTCAATGCCAGGGGTCTTAGGAACAATTTAAAACGGAAAGCCATTTTTTTATTTGCCAAACAACACAAAACAGATTTATGTTTTCTTCGGGAAACTCACAGCATCTCAGAGGATGTGCCTTTTTGGAAATCTCAGTGGGGAAATGACATTTTTTGTTCTCATGCTTCTCAACGTTCTGCGGGTGTTTGTATACTCAAGAACTTATTCGCTGGAAAACTTCCTTATTTAGACTTCGATAGTAATGGACATTATGTTTGTCATGTTGTTCAAATTCATACTTCTAATTTCATTGTCATAAACATTTGTGGATATAATTTAAAGGTAGAAAATGATGCTCTTTTAGATAGGATAGAAGAGAGAATTGTTCATTGGTTAGCCAAATTTACTAATGCACATATACTCTTGGGCGGTGACTTTAATATCACATTAGATAATATGATTGATAGATGGCCTCCAGGACATAGTTCTAATACAAATGCAAAGCTTAAATTGTTAATGCAAAGATTTGATCTGATTGACGCCTGGAGAACTAAACATCCTCATGACGTAACATGTACCTGGTGTAATAATTCAAGGTCTAAGCAATCAAGAATAGATTTATGGTTAGTTTCCCGTGTGCTTATAGACAATTTCAGTACTAATATTTTATCCACCCCTTTAACTGACCATAAAGCAATACAAATTAACATTAATCTACTTCCAACGAATTATGCTAAATTGTATAACTCATATTGGAAACTTAACAGTTCTGTACTGAAACATGAGGCCGTTATAGTAAGTCAAGTCAAGTCACATTTATATATAGCGCTTTTCACAATACAGATAGTATCAAAGCAGCTTCACACTGATAACATGAAAGTAGCACAACACAGATCAACAACATTGCTAAACACTAAATAACCCCACCTCTACTATACCCTCTGTATAGTAGAGGTTAAGAAATGTATTTATCTCTTTTGGTCTAGAGCTAAAGTAGAACGGGTTTACGGTAAACATTGGGAGTTGCTTAAATTTGAATTGGGGAAATTTTTCAGAAATTACTGTAGTAATGCTACTAAACTTAAAAGAGCCCAAGAAGAGGACATCATTTCCACCATTGCATGCTTATCTTCTAGAAGTCCTGATACCTTATCTGTGGAAGAAAATAATACTCTTTGTGAATATCAGCACAAAATGGATGAACTTTATAAATTAAAGCTGAAGGTGCTTTTGTAAGGTCCAGAAGACGCTGGCTCGAAGAAGGAGAACAAAATTCAGGGTACTTTTTTAGATTGGAAAAGTCTCAGAATAAAAACAGCATTCATCAGCTAAAAATCGGTAATTCTCTTTCTGAAGACCCAAAAGAAATTGCCAAACATTGTTCAGATTTCTATAAGAATCTTTATAGCAGCCGATTTTGTTATGACAGCACTGTATCCTTTATGTCTTCAGTAGGTAACATTAAATGTATTAGTGCTCCTGATAAAGACTTTTGTGATCGCCCCATTACATTGGTTGAGGTCCTCGAATCTATCAAAAACTTAAAGGTTAATAAATCGCCAGGTGTAGATGGCCTCACCTCTGAATTTTATCAAATATTTGCAAAAGACTTGGCCCCTTTTCTATTAGAAGTAATTTATGAAAGCATTAGTATGGGATCGCTTCCCTCTACCTTAACACAAAGTCTTATAACGCTTATCCCAAAGCCTAAAAAATATATATTATTAATTGATAATTGGCGTCCGATTAGTCTTTTAAATAATGATGATAAAATCATCGCTACAGTTTTTGCAAAACGTTTAAAATCTATTTTAGAGGACATAATAGATGAAACGCAATCAGGTTTTCTAAAAAACAGACACATTTCAAACAATATTCGTCTGGTTCTTGACCTGTTGGACTACTCAGAGTTAGTGAGGAATGATGGCTATATGCTTTTTCTGGACTTTTATAAAGCCTTCGATTCTGTTGAACATGGTTTTAAATTCAAAACTTTAGAACAATTTGGTTTTGGGGACTTGTTCATTAGAGCAGTTAAAACTTTATATGTCAATGGGAATTCTTCCATTAAGCTTAAATACGGGACTTCTCCAAGATTTGAATTGCAGCGGGGAATACGTCAGGGTTGCCCTATTTCGCCATATTTGTTTATATTAACTACTCAATTATTAGCAAATCACATTAAGAACAGTGCCTTACAAGGAATTGATCTCATGGGAAAGGAGATCATCATCAGTCAATTGGCTGATGATACTACCCTTTTTCTAAAAAATTCAGACCAAATTCCCTTGGCTCTTAATACTATTAAACAGTTCTCCAAGGCATCTGGGCTCCATCTCAATGAGGCCAAATGTGAATTAATGCCAATCAAACAATTCTCTGTTTTCCACTATATGTAATATCCAAGTTAAAGAGACAATAACATACCTTGGAATAGTAATTTCTAAAAACGTCAAACTCAGGCGTGATTTAAACTTTTTGCCCATCATAGAGAAAGCTAAAAAAAGATTTAATCAATGGCTTCAGAGAGATTTATCTCTGAAAGGAAGGATTCTTCTCTCCAAGGCAGAAGGCATCTCACGTTTGACATACGCAGCTATTTCATTAGACCTTGATAAAGTAGAGTGTAAAAAGATTGATCAACTACTATGTAGTTTTGTATGGAAAAATAAGACGCATTATATAAAAAAATCTGTGTTGTCCAATAGCATCAGTAAAGGTGGTCTTAATTTTGTTGATTTTGAAACTTTAAATAACACCTTTAAAATCAACTGGTTGAGGAATTACTTGAAAAAACCATTTAGTATTTGGAATATTATACCGGAGTATGTCATTTCTCAGTTGGGAGGTTTGAATTTTCTGTTGATGTGTAACTTCAGCATTGAGAAGATCCCTGTTGCTCTCTCTAATTTCCACAAACAAGCACTATTAGCGTGGTCTTTGATTTTCAAACACAATTTTTCTCCAACCAATTACTTCATTTGGAATAATAAGAATATCTGTTATAAACATAAGTCCTTATTTTTTGAAAGCTGGTTTAAGAATGGAATCAATCGGGTTAGCCAATTATTTAATCTGGATGGTTACTTGTTCACCTATCAAGAATTTCTCTCTCACTATAATATCCCTGTTACTCCAAAACAGTTTGCTTCTGTATTTGGTGCTATCCCTAGTGGTGTTATTATGCTGTTTAAGGGCCATAATAGTTTTTTGACAAGTCTTGAATTACCTCTCCCAGACCCGGCAGACACGTATGTAGGTAAAATATGTTTTAAATCGACTCTAAAAAATAATAGAGGTATCCGTCTTCTCTTTCTCAATGATTGTGTCTCTACTCCTCATGTTGTTCCGAAATGGAACGCGTTAGTGGAAGATATTTCATGGAAGAAGGTTTGGACTCTCCCTAACAAGTACCTATTGGTAAATAAGGTCAAAGAGATTTCTTTTAAGCTTATTCATCAATATTATCCTGTCAAAACGTTCATAGTGTCAAAATTTAAATTAAGTATAGATGTAAACTGTACTTTTTGTGATTCAGAACCAGAGACTATCTTACATCTTTTTTGGTACTGTGGTCATACCAGAAAACTTTGGCAAGACATTTGCCAATTCATTGTAAATTATATATATATAAAGACTTTGTGCTTTACTTCAAAGATGTTCTATTTGGGTTTTTCATATTTGAGAAGCAATATGAGAATTTTTTTTTTCTTTGCAACTTAATTATTTTGCTTGCAAAATATTTTATCCACAAATGTAAAACTATGAAAGTTACCCCCAATTTTTCTCATTTTCAAGAAGATGTTAAGATTTATATCAGAACTTTATCTACCTCTTGTAACCAAAAGGCTACTAAAACTTTGAATGTATGCTCATTTTTTGATGTGTTTGTATAAAAGGAGATATTATGTGTGTATATACAGTATATATATGTTTGTGTGTGTGTGTATATATATATATATATATAATATTATTTTCTGTTTAAGTTATTTTTATTTTATTTATTTTTATTTTTTTGTCTTTCTCGTTAAATTCCAATGTAATGTAATATGTATCAATCCTTGAACCTCTGGCTCTTGTTTGTGGTTTTCAAAACCTTTCACTGTTGTACTATGTAAGTAAATGTTTAATAAAAAATAAATAAATAAATAAATAAATTAAAAAAAATTAAAAAACCTGGAGCACACCATACATGACTTGGATTTGGAAAACTTCATTTCGTCTATTTTTAGTGAATTTTTGAAATACGCAAATCTATATAACTTCCTGGTCATGTGACCTGATGATGTCACACCACCTGGAATGTATTCACTAATTATGTGGACAACCTAATTTGTCAAATAGGACTAGATGTGAATGGGATATTCACTATAAATAACAACATGTTTCTTACATTGTATTACAAAAAGACATTTTACCACATAGAGACAGGTGATGTCACACCAAGTGGAATTTATTCCCTAACCCCTGGAGCACACCATACATGACTTGGATTTGGAGAACTTCATTTTGTGTATTTTTAGTGAATTTTTTAAATACGCAAATCTATATAACTTCCTGGTCATGTGACCTGATGATGTCACACCACCTGGCATTTAATCGCTAACCCCTGGAGCACATCATACACGACTTGGATTTGGAAAACGTCATTTCTTCTATTTTTAGTGAATTTGTGAAATACGCAAATCTATATAACTTCCTGGTCATGTGACCTGATGAAGTCACACCACCTGGCATTTAATCGATAACCCCTGGAGCACATCGTACACGACTTGGATTTGGAAAACTTCATTTGTTCTATTTTTAGTGAATTTTTGAAATACGCAAATCTATATAACTTCCTGGTCATGTGACCTGATGATGTCACACCACCTGGAATGTATTCCCTAACCCCTGGAGCACACCATACACGACTTGGATTTGGAAAACTTAATTTCGTCTATTTTTAGTGATTTTTTTAAATACGCAAATCTATATAACTTCCTGGTCATGTGACCTGATGATGTCACACCACCTGGAATGTATTCACTAACCCCTGGAGCACACCATACACGACTTGGATTTGGAGAACTTCATTTTGTGTATTTTTAGTGAATTTTTGAAATACGCAAATCTATATAACTTCCTGGTCATGTGACCTGATGATGTCACACCACCTGGCATTTAATCGCTAGCCCCTGGAGCACAGCATACATGACTTGGATTTGGAAAACGTCATTTCGTCTATTTTTAGTGAATTTTTGAAATACGCAAATCTATATAACTTCCTGGTCATGTGACCTGATGATGTCACACCACCTGGAATTTATTCGCTAACCCCTGGAGCACATCATACACGACTTGGAGTTGGAAAACATCATTTTGTGTATTTTTAGTGAATTTTTGAAATACGCAAATCTATATAACTTCCTGGTCATGTGATCTGATGATGTCAAACCACCTGGCATTTAATCGGTAACCCCTAGAGCACACCATACACAACTTGGATTTGGAAAATGTAATTTCGTCTATTTTTAGTGAATTTTTTAAATACGCAAATCTATATAACTTCCTGGTCATGTGACCTGATGATGTCACACCACCTGGATTGTATTCCCTAACCACTGGAGCACACCATACACGACTTGGATTTGGAAAACTTCATTTCGTCTATTTTTAGTGATTTTTTTAAATACGCAAATCTATATAACTTCCTGGTCATGTGACCTGATGATGTCACACCACCTGGAATGTATTCCCTAACCCCTGGAGCACACCATACACGACTTGGACTTGGAGAACTTCATTTTGTGTATTTTTAGTGAATTTTTGAAATACGCAAATCTACATAACTTCCTGGTCATGTGACCTGATGATGTGACACCACCTGGAATTTATTCGCTAACCCCTGGGGCACACACACACGACTTGGAGTTGGAAAACGTCATTTTGTGTATTTTTAGTGAATTTTTGAAATACGCAAATCTATATAACTTCCTGGTCATGTGACCTGATGATGTCACACCACCTGGAATTTATTCACTAATGCTGCGTCCCAATTCGCATACTATCCGTCCTAAATAGTATTCGAAAACAGAATTAGTACGTCCCAAATCGTAGTATGTTGAAATGAGTGTTTCAAAGATACCCGGATGGTCTTTTTCCGGTCAGAATCCGAAGTGTAGATCGATGCACACTCTAACGGCTGATATTGACCACAAACCATTGCGCGTTGGACGAGGATTCGGTTAGAACTACAAACACGAGTAAAAAGTGTTAAAAAACTACAGACACGTAGTCGATACGGAGGACGCGCGAGTCCCCGCGGTTGTGTAGAGAGGTTTAGATAAAGAGCTTTGAGTGATTAATTATCAGTATCTAACCTGACGAAAATGAATTTATTCAATGTTGTCCACATTGCATTTGCAGCAGCATTGTGAACTTTTGTAAAGACACAGCTATTACATTTTAAATGCATCATTATATTCAAATTGCAAACACGAGGAGAGCATGAAAGACCCACAACTGGCAGATAAACGTGCTCTCCGAAACGGTAGGAAATAAAATTAGATAGAATAGAGGATTTTAACTGTGACAAGATGATTGGCAGGGCAGTTTACGGTGACAGGATGCACGCAGCACGCGACAGAGCGGTCCGTTAAAGATGACGTGATAGTATGTCCCAAAGCTTGCCTACTCTTTTGCTACACACTCAAAAGTATGTACTTTTTCTTCATAAAAAGAGTACATACTTTTAGGGCGTAGTATAATTAAGCGAATTGGGACGCAGCATAACACTGCATCAACAACTCATTTACACAGTTATCTTACAGTTTGGTTATAGCAATGCATGACTATGACTATAAACAATGCTATTTTTTCCAGATATTCAAAGTGATTTAATTTTCTGTTATGTGACCTGATGATGTTACAACCCCTGTAACATATTTGTAATATATGTTTTTAGGATTTTACAAGGCATTTGATACTGTGTAAAATAGGTTGAAGTTTCACTCTTATTTGTAAAATTGGCTGTGATAATTTGTTTTGTAATGCCATTAAGACACTTTATGCAAACAAAAAAGCTTGAGATTACTGATATTGAGAAACTGAGATTAGGGAAGACCGGGGGCAATTGTAACATATTTTACATTTTCCTTAATAACTCACAAACTACTTGAGATAGATTAGTCATCTTTTGATACAAGAAACATATATATGTGCACTAATTAATAATACAATTTATATATTTTCACTTATAAGAACAAGACTAAAATATTTAATTAACCCTCATGTGGTGTTCGGGTCAATTTGACCCGGAGAAGATTTTCTTTTTCCTGAAAATACTATTATCGCTTTGGACTGAAACTTAGTGACTTTGTTCCCAAGTGGTATAACTATATCTCATTTGTTTTTTGAACATTTTCGTATTTTTTTGTGGGAGTTCTGTTACCTTGTTACACTTGTGGTGTCCCCGGTCAAAAATGACCGGCATATAAAAAATAGCTTATAAATCACTCATTATACCATATTTTCACCCAATCTTGGATTCAATCTTTTTGTCAGCTTGTTCTCTTTCAATTAGGACTGGTTTTACATTTCTGTTTGCATCTGATTAATCGTGGGCCTCATTTATCTGAGAGTAGGCATGGTAAAAAATGGTCACAAAGGGCGACCATTGAAAGTGAATGGGAGAGACTGAAAATAACAGAACAATTTAGTTTTCAGGAGCATGTTCATTATTTTCATGTACACATATGAGCATGTGTGCTTGCAAACATCGAGCCCTTGGACCTGTGCATGTATCGATACATTTATACACACGCAACCCAGACACACACTCGTTAAAACACAGAAACTTTGAGTATTACACACATTCTTTTCCACATGCTCATATGTGTACATGAAAATGATGAACATGCTCCTGAAAGCTAAATTGTTCTGTTATTTTCAGTCTCTCCCATTCACTTTCAATGGTCGCCCATTGTGACAATTTTTGATCATGCCTACTCTCAGATAAATGAGACCCACGATTAATCAGAAATGCAAATGCAAACAGAAATATAAAACCAGTCCTAATTGAAAGAGAACAAGTTGACAAAAAGATTGAATCCAAGATTGGGTGAAAATATGGTATAATGAGTGATTTATAAGCTATTTTTTAAAGGCCGGTCATTTTTGACCGGGAACACCACAAGTGTGACTATGTTCCATATTTTTTACAAAACAAAAGTTTCAAAACAAAATTCCTGGTGAAACATTAGAGTAGACTAGTGTGATGAACAGTAGCTATTTTTTTTTTTAAAAATTCATATTTGCAAATTTACTCATAAATTATTTATTTTTTACTCAAAAAATGAGATGCCTACTCTCAGACAAACGAGGCCCACGGTTAATCAGATGCAACCAGAAATATAAAACCAGTCCTAATTGAAAGAGAACAAGTTGACAAAAAGATTGATTCCAAGATTGGGTGAAAATATGGTATAATGAGTGATTTATAAGCTATTTTGTATAGACCGGTCATTTTTGACTGGGAACACCACAAGTGTGACTATGTGCCATATTTTTTACAAAACAAAAGTTTCAAAACAAAATTTCTGGTGAAAATTTTAAGTTGACTAGTG